TCACTGTGAGACTCATCAATATTGCTTATCCACAACTCCATTGGGATCGAACCCGTAGGTTTCACAGCAAGATCATTAAGTTCGTACCCATACGTACATACGAATATTCCTCTATCTCATCGTTTATATCAATCCATAATGTTCATTTTCAAACACAATCATACATGTTTAGACTATTTTTGTCCAGGATGATTGAATGAACACGTACACGTGTATAAGAAAACGTATATGCATGCATTTTCTACAATCTTAGATCATTGTGGAGGGGGCAGTAATTTCAAGCCATTTTATAAAAAAATGTCAACGAATAAGTATTTTCGTACAGAACATTTGCCATAAATATGCTTTCAAAGATAACACTCTTATCGGTTGAGTTTCCAGGGATTAATCTTTTACCAGGATATTCACTTGTTGACTTATAATAAGCATTTAATATGAACCTGTTTGGTGAAGACGCTGACAAAATACAGAGGCTTCTGACCACTTTAAGCAACCGTGCAAGCATGTTTAGGATGCGTTTCTATTTCTCCAAGCGCAAAATGTTGCTTTAGGATTGGCTTGCGTTGATTTCTTAATTAATAAGAAGCAGAGAAATAACTGGATGTATCGACCACTCCACTTATCTTTAGACTCTCATCAGTTCCGAAAGTTTAAAGTTTAAAGAAATCTGGGGACTGTTTCAGCAAGTTTGATTGGTTTTCTCTAACTTGCGTCACTTGTGGCGTAGACGAGATATTAGTCTTCAAATCAGTGAACAAATTTACTGAGTAGCAGATTGCTCCGTCTCAATTAATTAATGCGAGACATGGCCATTATGAATGGAGAATATACACAGCTGAGTATTTCGGGACCATTGTGTAAGTAATGCCTGGGTTGAGAATAGGATGGCGAATTGATTGAAAAGGTAGTCAATCTTCTTCAACGGAAGTGATTGAGACATGTGTTACCTATCCCAGCCGATTACCTACCTTAACGGGCGATGTTGTCTGCAGTAGGAAATAGAAGTTGGGGATGGCAAAATCAAAACATGTTATCAGTCCAGGAAGTCACTGACAATTGTACTGAGCCATGGTAATAGGTGTAGACTACTTGGTTGGGTTTCATGTGATTATAATAACCAATGATTAGGAACTTCGAAGGTCTAGTTATCTTTATTAGCACAGATTCAGTTACTACCTCTTCTACCCTTGAACTTCGCCGAATAATTTTACTTCTCTGTGTAAACGAGACATAAGAGCTTGAACGGGTATACATGCGTACCAGATTCAACATTTCGACTGAGTGACTGATGGTGACTGACTGACTGCACAGAATCCGTTTACATATCAGCACATTTAATTAATTATTTTCATATCAGAGCCTACTCTAGCTTCCTTCTCTCCTAGCTTGAAATACCTTAAAATATAAATCCTGATAAATAAGATTTATTTGGTAAGGATCCAAAAAAAAGAAAGAAAAACATTCAAGTTTATTCAATTAAATATCGATTGAATTCAATAATGAATAATGAGTAAAATTGTTAAATTGAATAAAAGTTAAGTAATTGAAACAATAACAGCAGATTACTTGGTACACATTCATGTCACTAGTAGAGGGATTTCATAGGAATTGTTTGAGAATAGTTTACACTACGGACTGATCTTAGTTAGACAATCAATCAATACTAGATGACAATTTATCGAATCTGCAGATGAATTTCCTGAAAAAAACACCTCTGTGCTGTCACGTGGTCATAGCAGAGCTATCGTCAAGACAGGTAACTAGGTATACGGGGTATTAAATAATAATAATTAAAACCTGTTTTTGAGGTGTAAATTCATACAAGTTGTACAAAAATTTAAAATAGTAGAGTCAGTTACAAAGAAAACACTAAACAAATGCTTATTGAATAGTATCAACGATACAACAAAATGAATCAATAACAAGGGTTAATTATTTTTACATAAAAATTAGTAAAATTTAATTATCAAATGTGTCTTATGTAGTCAGCCTTAAAGTCACATATTATTTCATTGTAATCACGAGCTGATCATGGTTAGATGACCGTTGAAAACCTGGAAGCTCTAGACGGTCATTTTATCCTAGTATTGAACTTTTTAGTAGTGTCTAACTTTAACCGGTTTTTCATCACAATGTAATTCAATAATCTCCGAAAACCTTACACTGACAAGTTTCATGTGCTCACTAGTGACTAGCTATGACTGTTATTTCCTCTTTTTATGTGAATGATTTGCCATCTTCAACAAAAAACACTTTTGTTAAATATACAGATGATATCACTGTATACATGCCAATTTCTGCCTCTTTACATCACCTTGAAATGAATACGTCTTTGTTTCTTATTGTCTCACACTTAGTCTGTCTAAATGTTAAACTGTTAGCTTTAGCTTGAGGCATAAACAGCACGTAAACACCATGTTGGAATCCCGTAAAGCTTGTACTATTGAAGATTCTTTAATAAAAATAGTGTCAAAGATCATTTATCTTGGTGTAAGTTTTTCCTCTTATCTCTCTTGGTCTTCTCCTGTTTCATTGTTGTTGAAGAAAGGTTTCCATCTGACTTTCTATATGCTTACTGAATGCTTTTGGAATTACTGGACGTTTGCTTCTACGATTTATTAATTATTGAATATTACCTATTATTCTTCTTCACTGTTCTCCACTATTCTCTCACAGGCCTTTGAGAACAGACTTTGTCGTATTATGGAGAGTGCTAAAGGCAGTTAACAGGGTGTGTAGTAAATCTTTTAAGGTGGTAGATAAACATCAAAAATCTTGTACACTCGTGCCAGGTGTGATCTTATCAGATACTAACAATCCACTTCATTTACTTCTTTCTACTGGAATATCTTCCGGTAAAACGAGACAACAATGCATTAGGATCCATGCCCACAAGTACAGATACAAAAGCTCTACAATACTTTATCTAGCAAATAGACTGTGACGAACAGGTTATTAGATCTGACCTAGTCAATGACTTGTATTCTTAAACATGTTTCTAATAACAAAGTTGCTTAGATTCTAATCTTATTAAAAAAACGTTTCATTTAATTCTAGCTAGTTTATTTACTGAACATACTCAAAATATTTTGTGCCGAGAATTTAATATTGAATAAAGCCCCTAATAATAATAGGAAATTTCTGAAGTTCCAATGCTAATCTGTGACTGGTGCAATTCAACCATGTATAGTGTCAGTTAGTTAGCCACCAAAGACAGTGCATGATGGTAACAGAAAGTCATAGATTGATTGAACTTAGACATTAACACCACCGGATGCCGGCCGTCTCAGCAGTCTAAAGACTAGGCATTTGCGCGTGAGACAAGATTTTGGATTTTATTCCTATGAGCGGAATCGTGGATGTGCGCTGCTGAGATTTGACCATTTACTGCCTTTAGGACATCTATTTTTGTTTAGCTTTGATCAATTCGTGATTTTAATAAAATTCAACAATTTACACAAGCTTATATCGTTAAATATTACCTGTTGATTCATTTGTATCGATCGAGAATAGGACAGTGAACAGCCGTTTCATTATAATATGGGACTCATTTGGTGTACATAGGATATTAACAATCTGCACAAAAACCTTCATACTAACAAGAATGTTGTGTTCACTAATGACTAACTTTGAGATACAATCCCTGTCATCCTAATGAGAAGCCATATTAATTAAGATTTGTCAGTGACCAGTCAATTTTAAATATAACTTATTGTTACTGCAGATCAATAGAAGTCCGAATATTTTAGCGGTAGCGCCTTTTTGCCTACGAAACTATGTGATATGGTTTCAAATCCTGTGACAACTACATATTTCACAATAGTACATTTAGTTTAGAACAATAATTCATTCTTCAGACAAGAAAGTTCATAGGTTCAAATACCTGTACTTCTATGTGTTTTAAACATCAGAAAATAGGTTTCTATATATTCTTTAAATGATAATCGTTTCTGATTATTATCTCTATTTTTCTCTATCTCTGTTGTTCATCAATCTGAAAATATAAATTTATCTAATAGTTGAGAATACTTCAAAATTAATTAGATATTCAGGGGTTCACATAATTTAATTATACTTCAATAATTGATATAATCCATCACATATATAAGATCAGGTCATATTTTATATTGATCATTTAATATTCCTTATATTTTTTCAGATCGATTTTATAAAACATAACATCATACTTTAGGTTCTTCTAATTAATGGAAACAAGAAGTTATTCAACACAATTTAGTATTTCAGCTATCTAAACTTAGTCGTTTTCTGTAAAAATATGAGCTTCTAAAACAAACAATCAAATAGTAAAATGTCTATTATTATAATCAGATATAAGTTTGTAATGTCATTAAACTCTTGCCTCTATTCAACAAGAAACTTGGAGTTTTCACCAACTTCTATTTGATTTGAAAATAGTGTTCATCATGAAAATGATGTTTACTGAGAATCTTTTGCAAATAAAGATATCACTTACACAACTATTTTATCCTAGACTTGAATTCTTGATTATTGCTTAACTATGACCACTAAAAAGATAAAGCCTTGAACCTTCAAGTCTCTCAGTAAAAATTCTTATTTCTTTATTCTTTCTACATTAAATAACGACTGAAGTTTCCGGATTCAATCTTAGACAGTGTTCTATGTGTGCTTTTTGATGTGTGGGAGAGAATGATCCTGATTGGTTGTCTGCTTAGTCAGACATGTAGACAGTCTCACATGTGTCAGATAAGTTAAATGTACCCTTATCCTTATTATTGTGACACATACACTTATTATTGATTGTTCATTGTTGTGGATTGTGTGAGGTTTTGTGTGTGAAAATATATTCACATTGTGATTAGGCTAATTACGTGTTCTTGATCTGAGTTGTGTTGAAGTCCTGTAGAATAGACACTGTCAGGGATCTAGTGTAGTGTGCATTATAACATTAGACGAAGTAATATCCGAGCGTTATAACAGCTTTATTAAGAGGTTAGTCAATATCCCCTAATTTAAAATCACACCTCAACTATGAACAATTTATAATGAATATCATCTTGAGAAGTGAACCAACCTCCACAAAATCCATTCCATTATATCATATTGTTTAAACCTGATAGCTCATTGTTCAAGTGGATAAAAACATTCTTTTCAGTAGTAAATAATCATTATGATAATTACAATGTGCTCATTAGTGACCAGCTTCGTTAGAAAATTCTCAGAGTTCTGATGAGAAGTCGTGACCAGTGGAGCTAATCCGTGTCGGGTAGAAACAGGTGTCTACCTCAGTACAATGGAAGATGGTCGCTCAACTTCGTGGAGTGGTTGAGGTTAGACATTAACACCATTGGATGCCGGGAATCTCAGTGGTCCAGCAGGTTAGGCGTTCGCGCGCGAGACTAAAGGCTTAGGGTTCGAATCCCTTGAGCGGGATAGTGGATGCACACTGCTGAGGAGTCCCACGATAGGATGAAACGGCCGTCCAGTGCTTCCAGGTTTTCAACGGCGGTCTAACATCAATCGATTCATGATCTCAATCAAAAATAATCATTATGATTTTTTTTCTTCTATTAACAATGACAAATGAATGAGTTTAAAGCAAGATATAAGCAAAATGCAAGATTAAAATCAGACGAATTAGTAAATACTTTTGTACCTTCCTACACAATAGACAAACACAAACTTAAAAGAACTTTGAAAAGTAAATGTAACTTGAATAAATCATTGAAAAAAAACAAACAAACAAATTAAACAATAACAATAAACAATCAATAATACTGATGACATGACAAACAATTAGATAGACAGACAGATAGATAAACAAACAAACAAGAAAACATAGATTTGCCATGATTATAATCATAGAGAAAAAGGTCATTAATGTGATTACGCAATAATTGTATGGAATATGAAAAGCAATTTATAAATTATTGCCTGTTTTGGATAAATGAAATAATGAAAGAAATAAATATCTATGTAACAATGATCATATCTTATATTATATAACTGATATTATCATTCATTGTGATACTTCATTAGGACTAGTGGTTTCAAAGAAATGTTGAGAATTTTTCTGAATTATTTTGACTAGATCTATGAAATGAGGCAAGAATAAAACAAAACAATAGAGATTGTAGTAATCTATCATTAATATAGATATTAAAAGTATTCCTGAATATAATCAGATAGGGGTTTTGTGGATATTATTAGTAATTTAATAGTTGGATTCTTAAGTCAATTGAAGGTAGACCATCATGGAAAATTTGAAAGCGCTGGACAGTCGTTTCGTCCTAGTACACGAATCCTCATGTGTGCACATCCGAACCCAGAACCAATCAGACTCGCACGCGAGCGCTTAACCTCCATACCATTGAGTTGGCATCCAGTGGTGTTAATGTTTAACTTCAACCAATCTATGAATCTGGGCCAACATCCACCATTGACTGGAGTTAGAAACGGTAAACACTGAATACAGATCTGCCCAATTAAAAGTGATCATATTTGTCACAAAACATGAAGATAGTTGATTCTGATCATTTAAGCTTAAAATCTCAAAACGAAACCTCTATCAAGTGCTTTTTTCAGTTCTCAATAGTTTCCACTCATATCACTTTTAAAATATTCGTTTTTCTTTACAAAACTACCTTTATTTTAAATCGTACAAACTTACTTCAGATCAAAGTAAGGTAAAGATCTTATCGTCGATTTAAAACGTTGGATTCGACTTGCTAGCAAGTCAATTAAATCACATGATATGGTCAATCTTTCATGAACTAATAGAAAACAGAATTAAACATGTGGTTTTTATCATTTCCATCTAAAATATAATTGTAATTTCTATGATTCGACTTTCGAATGATGATGCACATAACTGGTCATTTTCGAATGTCCAAAATAAAATCCCTGCTGCAAACATCTAAATCTTGAATACAGGTTTCTAAATAGTCGGTGGTTCAATAGTCGAGTGCCCGCCAATTAGGAAGGCAGTCCGCGTTCGACTCTCAGCAGACGCGCGTCACTTGCCTCCAGATGCCCTGGTATGGCCGAGGGTGAGGAAAGTCCGCCTTCCCTCTCGAAATGCTCTCACATGGCCACACATATATAGCCACTGTCAGGGAAGTACTACTCACTGTCCTCGCTTATTGGGGTGTTTTTCACGAAACTGAAGAGGTGAAAAGCGAATGACCGGCACTTCAACTGAGTTCGTGAGTACGGATGATCGACCCAGGGGAGTTGGAAAACCCTGATATCAAACCAATGGTGCACAAGGGCTTTAGGATTCTGAAGGAACAAATGGCGTATGAACCTATTGTTCGTCACTGGCTACCATGGGACTGCGTCTCCTTACACTGCTCCATTGACTTCTGGATTAGACCTGTAGGTCAATAGCTCGGGGTGTGGCCCCCTAGGAAAACTGCCTGCTTCGGTTTGGGCGCTTGAGCAGTATTCCAGCTTTAACACAAATCGAATGATTTATGTAGCGCATATGTATTTGGTGCCTCCTTGTACAAATGTTTATATGTTTAAATAAATAATTGAATAAATAAATTTGATTAGTCACGTTAAATACACAATGAAAAATAACAATTTTGTAATTTATAATTGTTTTATAGACTAACCATTTGGTAAATTGGTTGCACTGGCTTGTTTACGTAAAAAGTCCAGACATAATTCTTGTCCCATTCCTAAAGTATACATACGCCATAGAAATTTGCTAAAAAGCAAAATATTAAATAGTAAAAGCTTAATTTAATATGAGATGACTTGGATTATTATGTCGTTGATATTTTTGACTGAAATTTAATCAGTTTAGGTTGGCATATGGGATTTTGTGATCATTGCCTTGATATAGTCACTGTGATACAAATTGATATTGAATAAATACAATGTGGCTATCACTGGAATCCAGAATACACGTTTTGCGCCATTTAAGTTTCGTCAGCTGAGTGTACTTGGATCCTAGAATTGATGTACACTGAGGGATTGGATTATAAATGAGGTCAATTTTAAAAGTATATTACTGAGTTGTATGATAAACCACAAGATATACCCTACGATTTCTAAACCAAACAGTTGAGGATATATACAGATCCTATACAACTGGATACATCTGACAAGTTTCAGACAGGAAGAAACGTGCGTTATAGATTTCACTGCTAGACACTTTACATCTATTCTACTTCAGTATTTGCTGCCGCTATTTTTCAAAGGAAATTCTACTTTCCTTAGCTTTATAATATTTTTTCTTAAGTTACGAAATAGGGACTGGTTTCTAATTCATGAAAGTAACTAGAATACTAGAAATTTCTGTCAGTAATGATGTCTTATATGATTATGTTAAATCTAGTCACATTTACTAACTGATCATATGGAGGTTGAACATATCACAGACTACTCAATAATGATTTGATTATTTACTATTTTAAAATTAGTTACATTCTTTGACAATTATTGAGTATATATTCATTTGGAAAGTACTAGAAATAGTTATTCAGTTCTTCTTCGTTTCAGTAGTAGTCATTTATTAATGATAATATTTAGGTGTGACGTATGAAATGATTAATTAACCATTGATAAATGATTATATAACTACATTAAATACCAAAGAACATATTGCACCAAGAATTGGAACAGACATAAAAAGGATAGATAGCAACTGAAAAGGATTGACGAGTACCAATAGATACCTACTTAGTGGCTCTAAGGTTTGTGTATTCACTGCAAGACATGAACAATCGAAGCTATGTGTGAACACAGTTAATTCTTTTACTAGTACCCAACAACTATTTAATGCTGACCGATTTTAAATGATGCGATAACTGTGACTAATCTATGACAAATACAATACGCAAATTGAACCAATCTTCTCGAAACTTCTTGACATATTCTCAACTGCTTAATCACCTCACTGATCTTTTATTTATGTCAATATTAATTCTAATTTCATTCAATCATAATATAAAATCTCTAACACAGTTTCTACATGTAAATCAAACTATTTTATTATTTTAAACAAGGGGTAGTATGTAGGGGTATATTCTTTGTCAAAAGTTCTTGTGAGTTGCTATGCTTTTCTTTTTCTTTAAACAAAGAAAGAGAAACACGAAAATCCCACGAACTAAACATAAAACAGAATGTTGTTTTTATCAATAATTTATGTGTTAGACAGTAATGAATGAAGCTTGTTGTGAATTGTGGTCATTAATTTTTTTTATAGTGTAGACACTATGATTTCACAACTATTGCGTATATATATGTTTGTTTTTCATAGTTTAAATCATGGATCATGGTACGTCTGTCATGTCCTTCCTGTTTTTCACTGGGTTTTTTTTTTTAAAAAAAAGAAACAAAACTAACTAAAGTCTCTCCTCCATAACGCAAACAATGAAAAGAAATAAACGAACACATTTCATCTTTTCATAATTTTAAAATTAGTTGAAATGGCGGACAAAATGATCTCAAATGAGTACAAATAGAGTTATGTAGAAACAAATGTTTAAAATAATCTCATATCAGTTAGTAAGTATACTGGATAGCACAATATTATTAGAGGGAATAGTTTAGATGTTAATCTCTACACTATCACAGCTGGCCAATAGATGATAAAAGACGCAGTCGATCATCAATACTACAGAGTATACATGTACATATATATATATATATATATATATATATATATATATATATATATATATATATATATATATGGTCTATGCTACTTATGTTTGTCAACATAATTAGTATGTAACACCAATCAGAAGTGGAATATCCGGTATCACAAGGTTGAGGTGATCGAATTAAAGGGAACAGTGTTGTAAACAGAGAATAGTTGTTATAACAACAGAAATGAAGGAACGATGAAGTTTGTAAGTGATAAATGCTGAATGATGCGTATTTAACATAGTATATTCAATCATTCCTAGCTCATAAAATATGATAAACACATGTATACAACTGAATTTCAACATTCTCTTTACTCAACTATTTAGCATAAATAATTTACAATTGAAACATCGAGCTCCAGTTTATGTATCGGATAGGCGAGGAAAACGATTCAAACAACCTGTATCACTTTTGTATTTTTCGTAATCTTAATTAAAAGAAAGGAAACTGAATGTAAATAGATGTAACTACTAAGTGAATTTGTTTGATAATTATCAAGGTGAATGTTGACTGATATCTTAACCATTGGCCAATTTGATAATTTCGTTTGATATTGTATTGGAGAGTATAGATTCAATAGGTTTTCAGGATCTTTTAAAGATTGACTAAATATACAATATTATATATACAATGGAAGAAGACAGAAATGTCTCCGGATATGTGTACAGTTGAAGAGTTTCATATTAGGACAAAGACTATCCTGTGCGAAATGGTTCTTGAAAGTTGTTCAATTAACACCAGTCTGTGTTGTAGACTATAATCTTATATTGTATTTAACAAACAAGTCATAAGAAATTTCAAGTGGAGGAGATTAGTAAAACTTGGATCTTATCATGTCAATCCAATATACAATTTTGATATTCTATTTCAGAAATTTTATGGAAATTTACTTTTGTTTGTTCATGTAAAGTTGAAAATCAGCGACTATAGAATCATCTTGAGTTAAAATTTCTTAAAAGATCACACGAACAACCTGAGGGACTTTTACGATCTTTAATGAGCATTGATAAGGTGTTTCACCTAACAATGAAACAGTTGTTTCGTTCATTCTAAATACAAAACTATAATTAAAAGCAGCCACAAATTTCAATAGTATTGGTCTCCTTACTTAAAAATTATTGAGTAATAAGAGTTAAAAGAAAATGTAACAATAACAGTGGCATAATTGTGACAAATGGAGATACGGCGAGACTATAATTTATGGACAAACCAATCACGTATAAGATAATAGGTCTCAGATTTTGGCGCGAAGTTCACTTATCTATTTGGGTAAATAGAGTTTTGGCATTATAGCTGATGTCAATTGTGATAAAAGCCTGAAATCTAATTTCTAACCTTAATCATCAACTGTAAATCATAATTCTAATTCTTCACACAGATTTATAACCCTCATTTGGTCACGGTTATTCAGTGGACACTCTCAAGGTCATTTTAGAGCCACCCAGTAGTCATCCAAAAATTATAGTTTCACCGGAGATTCGAACAGTATAAGCATAAAATTAATTGGATTTATCAATTTTTGCTGTTATATTCTACAATTTTGTTCACTTTTCAGAGGTCGGTGCTTTATGTTAACTCATGAAGAGTGAGTTCTAGAAGACAAAAATAAATGGAGAAGATCGTTGTCTATCATTAAAGAATGTCGGTACAATGAATGTATAAAGCTTGAAATGATGATATTGTTCGACTAGGTAACATTATAATTTATCACAATTTAGACTCGACTTCGGCTGATTACTAACTACAAAATCAGTAGTAATATCTCAATTGAAATCAATATAACGACATGAATCTCTGATTGAAGTGAGACTTCGTAAGTTTTTTCCCGTATATACATTAAACTATCAAGAAACCAAGCACATGAATATTCCCTTGATAATATGTCAATGGAAACTTCAGCGTGCAAGTTTATTTGAAATATATTCGAAAAAGATTATCTGGAACAATCGAACCAGAAATATTAGATTATGCTATTAAAAGGGAGTCTTCTTGACACTGAATGGGACATATTTAAAACCGACTACAAAAACCTCATTCCTTTATTCCTCATAGTAACGTTTTTTATCTAGTGCACCATAACACAAAGTCCTAATGAAAAGGTTCTTGTTGATTACATTTTGAGATATCTTGAACAAACACCACAGTAAATACTTGTGATCATGGTAGTTACCCAATGTTTATTGCGAAAAAAAGGCTAAAACTGCCAACCATCCTATTTAGAAATATATTATTGTATTAAGTATACTTTATCTACAGGGAATGTAACTTGGATTCTGTTGTTATGAAAAAAAGACTACGAAAATCTTTATACATTCAAATAAATTCATCACTAAATTATCAAGTAAATGACTATAGCGAATTAAAGGTCTTGTTATTATTACCTCATTATTTATGGTCAAAAAATGTGTCAAAACATTTTCCGGAACTAATCCTGTCATTCGAAACAAAAATCATTTACTCTAAGTTAAGATGGGAGACATACATATATAACTATCTACTCGATACTAAAAATGTTTGTTAGATCTATATGATTTCCTCATCTTTACCTCTTTAACTTCATAGAACAAATGCATTTGCAACCAGTGATGGAATACAGGATGTAAGATTCGTTGATGCTGGAATCCGTCATCAAAATATTCTTACATCGCCTTTTTGATGTTCACATTAAATTTAGTATCTGACCTGAACTGTACTTTTCTTTTTTCTTTAACGTATTATACTACTTGTCAATATTCAGTAACTTATGTCAGTTTTATTCATTTTTGAGTAAATGTTATAGAATTTATCTGAACCTGTGACATTTTATCCATTCCTGACGATTCCTTTTCATTTGTTTTACGTTCATTTGACATTTATTTGCTCGCAAAACTTTTATCTAGTTTAAAAAGTCACCGTTTCGACTTGTTGCTTTCTACTTTTGAATTTGACACAACTACTAAATGTTACTTGGTATAACGTATGCTCATGATGAATTGTTCTTATTTAACTAGATCAAGAAGTACTTAATCCTAAATCGTACCTAATTACCCGTAAATCTTTAAGGTTTCTTCCGAATAAAATTTTATTAACTTTATTTCTAACCACCTACTTAATTGTAGTATTTTATTTTGAACAAATCATATTGCTTTGATTTTGGATTTCATGAGTGACTCAATCATTTGATCTAAATCTTAGAGAGAGTTTCACCAAATACACTGAGACAAACTTTACTTAACAATGAAAACGTATATTACAACACAATTCTAACTCACCTTAACTGTGAATATACAATGTCGTTTTGAAAGTCAGTTTCCGCTTGGATTGGATCGTCACCTTCAGTGCTAAATAAAAGAGAACAGAAAAAAACAAACAAAGTTTAGTAAAACAAACGCAGCTCAATTTGAAAATATTCCTCCTTCTTTTAAACTTCAAGGTGAAGTCAACCAATTAAAAGGTCGATACGTAGTATCTTTTTTAAAAGGTAGAGTATAACCGGTGCAAGAATTCTATACTGACAACTTATGTCTGAAATTAAGATACTACTGGACGATGAGTAAATAATTAGTCAATATTCAGAAACTCCTGTTCACGGGATATTCGTCAATCAGTTAAACGCCGTATAAATTACAATAAAAGAATTAACAGAATATACCTTAAATCAGTCTTCATTAACATGTCAGTTGACCTGTATTCACTATTCAATGATAACAGAATAAAAGAACGTGTAGAATTGTATTTGCTACATGACTGCATACAACCAGAATATCAAAAACCAGAGAAAAAAAACATGTTAGGAGTTATACTTACAAAATAGATAATCACCTTGAAAGAAATGGGATTTTAGAAAGTAGGCAGCACAAAGTAACAGACATATGAAGGGGTAAGAGATTATTAATGTGCATAAAATTATGTGCTAAAATGTTGAAATAAAAAAAATTACCGATTTGGATGAATGGTCGGTTACAACAAAGAAATACTTACTATTCGGTGCAAAGTATAAAGCTTAAAGACGTTAAATTTATGCTCAAACTAACTGTGTTGGCTTCATTTACTCATCTTTAAGAAACAACGATGACATTGTGTGACAGTAGAGGCTCAGTGTTTTAGATATTCGACTTGAAGCCTCTAAATGACAGATACAAACGCTAAACCACCTACTTGTGTTTTGGAAATCGGTTAGTATCAGTGGATCTAAGCCTAACATATTAATCTGTACTTGGTGAATGAGTAAAAATAAAATAAATTTGAATAAAAACTATTCATTTGTTATGTTTATTGAAAACCTACCTCCATACTTTGGCCAGAAGACTACTACCATTAAAATATTCGTGGATTGAATGCAGTAAAGTTTAAGTTTGAACTTCCTTTTATGAACTAATTCGCAAATACATTCTTTCTCTTTAAATTTCTAGGTTTATATAGAATAAGTGGAATATGGTTAACAATGGAATCCAGGAAGGCTGTTTTCTCATATATGGGACTCTTCAGCTGGATGTACTTGTATCCTAGAGTTGATGATCCCTCCGGATGCACACATGCCGAACAAAGCTGGTCAAAATCCAGTCAAGATGTCAACAACTAGATAATCTAAGCCATTACAAATTAAGTTAAAATTCATACGGGTTGTATAAGTTAACAGATATCTGGACTCTGTAGCAATATGGATATTGTATTGGACGTTTCAAGCTTAAGCTACTAGGTTCAAGTCCAAATATGAAAATTAACACTGCAATATAATTACATCCGGCTACAGAGTCCCAAATCGAATGAAATACACATCTGGATTCCACTTCAACCCACATTCTATCTGTTCTATGTAAACGTGTGAAGAATGTTTATGTAGAGACAATCAGCCTAAAATACACACATCTAAACTAAAAACTGATCGAAATTCATTCAAAATATCAATAATGGTATAATTCAAAACGCTTTTCTCTAAACTGTATGAACAGTGAGATTAAAACCGATTCTACTGTACTTCATATGCTTTGTCACAAAACATAACATATGCATATGTAATTATTTTAACAATTGGATTCACGAGTAGATGTAAACTAGACCACTATTGGAAACCTGTAAGCACTGGATGGCCGTTTCGTCCTAGTATAGGACTACTCAGCATTGAACATCCACAAGTACGCAAGCGGGACCCGAACACAGGGACTTCGGTCTCAAGCGAACACTTAACTTTGAGACCTAACGTATTAATGTCTAACTTCAATCGATCCATGATCTCTTCCAACCCTTCATCCATTGTCTTCAGTGGTTAAATGTCTCAAACTCGACGCGGATTAGACTCTGTTGGTCGCGACTTCAATCATGCTTTAGCTTAGATTGACTCAGGAATCGAACAGTGAAAATACTAAGATCTTCACAAATCCTCATACTCATATATTTATTTGTTTATAAAAACAAATCGTTGAGTCGCGTCGTTTGAACTCTCAGCAAAATGTTTTTAAATTAATACAAACACTTTTATTTGTAAACTATTCTCCATTTATGACGATAAACATCAGTTCATTACTGACTGTATTTCATTATTTGGTTTGTTTGAAATGGCAAAGAAGATTTACTTCTTATGAAGATGCTTTTGGTGGAAATGCTGTGTACTTTAAACTACTAAATCGTTAATCACTGAGATTTCATTGTCGTTTTAAACAATACTATCCGAGCATACTTCATGCCGAATTGAGCTTTCCAATCATTCCACAAACTTTAATTCAATTCTTTCTAATGGCCTTATACGTGATTGATTGTCTTCATTTGTACTTGCATTGACCTTGACTATCCATTTCAGTCGACCTCTGACCATGCATTTAACTGTGCTCTACAGTATGGGTTGATGTTACTATTGATTGTCAAAGAATTTGAATCTCATCTTTCTTGAATTTCTACATCTTACTTGTGGTTTCGTTGGTTCAGAATTTTGACATCTCAATCGAATTTATGATCATGGTTGTTCACATGTATTAATTTCACTGATGTATAATTTTTTGTGAAATAGACACTGGTGATATTGGCCAAAACCACAATGTCAACTTCCGAACTAAACCATTCAGTTCAAGCAACACAACGCCAATAATATGCGTCAGTTCACTGAATTATTCAAGCGTGATTTTGAATGTATAAACATGTGTAAAAAGAAAGAAAATCAAAGAAAGATATACTTACACAGGATATCTTTGACGTTCAGCCCGTTCACGTTGTAAAGCAATGAAAAAGGCAGCATTCCAGAACCTCATCGACTGCCAAATCACTTGGTCTTTCAATAATACATACAGATATTTTTGCTCAGCGGTACCATTTGAAGAGACAGCTGAAAACAGTAAATAAAACTGATAAGATGATAAGTGTTATAATACCTCACAAAACATAGGATGTTTCTATGGCTACATGAGTAAATATTTAATGCAAATCAATGAACGATTAAAGTTAGTTTACTATTGAAAACCTGGAAGGATGAGACGGTCGTCAATCATACTACAGAACTCCTCATAAACGTACATTCACGAAAACGCAAACAGGAATCGAACCCAAAACCTTCAGTCTCATATGCAATAACTAAATTATGTCAGGTGTGAGGAAGGTGTCCACTGAAGACAATGTAAAATAGTCTCATACTGTCGTGGATCTTTTGAAATTGGAGTTGTACGTCACTGAATTCGAGCACGGTAGTATCGAGGTTAAGCATCCGCACGCGAAACCAAAGGTCCTGTGTTCAATTCTCGCTCCCGGCGCCGTGGATACTCACTCCTCAGTAATCCCATACCAGGATGAAACGGTTGCTCAGTGCTTCTATGTTTTTAATGACGGTCTAACATTAATCAGTTCATCATTCCAATGAAATTCAATGATCTCCACAACTTCCATTTAACTATACCATATGAATATTATCAGTTTATCGCTCTATCAATGCTTGTATTAGTGTTTAGATTATTATATTAAAAAAAAGATTCTGGCTACCACATAAGGTGACTCCGCGATATCACGGATCGATTAAAGTTAGGCACTAAAATTATTGGATCTCGGCTCAGTGGTCTAGAGGCTTTTTTCGCGCACAGAACTGAACTTTCTTAGTTCTGTCCCATGTGAGAGGTCTAGGATGCGCACTGTTGACAAGTTCCATACTAAGACGAAACGACCATCCAGTGTATCCAGGTTTCCAGTGGTCATTGATATTATTCAGCTCGTGACTTCAATAAAACTTATTAATTTACACAATCCTTCATCAGCTTTACTTACTTTCATGGTATAATGAGAAACTTAAATGCATAATTATATAAGCTGGAGCATAATCTTCATTTTCATTACATTGATTTAACAATGGACCAATGAACAATGCCAATTGTTCCAGCAATTGATTAGATATACATTTCATGCCCTTTGCCTATAAATGAACATGTAATTTCCAAGGCAATATACAATCAAAATTTTATTAAAATTGGTTAAATATAAAAGCGAAAAAAGACTGTAAAAAGTTCTGAAAACAATTAATTATTGATGAATAAATTTGAATTTATCATTTTAAGATACTACTTATAAAATTTAATAGTACTCTATTTAGTAGTATAAAAATTCTAGAAACGTTTTGTCCAATCGGACCCAAACATTTTGAACTACTATAATAGTACAGAATTATTCATAATCAATTTTGAACTTAGACGTAAGTCATTTTATAGATAATATGAATTGTTATACACCTTGATTTAACTTACGTAACACTAAAATTGGTGAGCATTCACAAGATGAAAAAGTAAGATAACATCCTCGAAACAAGTAGGTTCAATTAGTGGCATGGCTGTGGATTTACATTGTTGTCGAATCCCATTATTTATCCATGTTACTCCTCATGGAGAAACATAGACTGCAAACCAGAAATATTCAGCCTACTCTGTCCTGAACTCTAGTTTTCAGTTGTTGCAAAGTGCTATTCATTTATTTAATGTCTGCATTCGATTCCTGACGTAGTGTGTTATATGGTCTTCCTCTTTTCCATTTCCATTCAGGATTCCAAGTTAGCGTTTGTCTTGCGACTCAGTTTGATTATTTCCTCAATATATGTTCCACCAACAGCGTCTTTCCCTAACTTCCTTTTCAAATGGAAGTTGTTTTGTTCTCTCCAACAGCAGATTGTTGCTGATAGTATCCAGCCAACGGATATTGAGTATCTGACGTAGAAAATTGTTTATAAATACTTGTACTATTTTGATGACTGTTGGGGTAGTTCTTGAAGTTTCAGCTTCATACGGTAGGAAGGCTTTCCTTGCTTTGCCATTCCTCGCCTTCATATCTGCATCAAATCCTCTTTGTTCGTTGATTATGCTGTCTAGGTATAGTAAATGTTAACAACCTAGATACTTTGATGAAAGGATCACTCATTAACACTATTTCATGTGATAAAGATAATAAGTAACCTGAATTTCGGTCACTTCGTAATGCGATATCGAGCGCTACTTTATCCATTAGAGGTTATCAGTTTCTAAAATATTATCTGAAATATTGCCGTTCATCAAAATTAGACTATCAATGATATCCTTGATTAAATCGGTGATATTCCTTTAACCTAAATCATCGCAGACACCAAATTGAAAGAAACTCAAATCTTTAATGAATGCAAGTTCAAAATAAAAACTTCACAGAATCACTTGACTCATCTCAATATGAAAATATAATCGCCATGAAATGACAAAATAATAGCTTACTTGAGATTTTAGTTCTTTGGCAAATCTTGAACGACCACTATGCCTCTAAAATCGGAAAGTGAAAATAAGTCAAATCATTAATAATTTTTCGGGAAAAAGTTATATTATGTTCACTTCATTTGTTTCAAGTGGAATTCAGCCATTTTTATTTTATCATTTACTCTATACTACTTAATATATTTTCAGTAGTATTCCGTTTTCAAAAAACGTTTACTGTCTTGTGATAATTCATTGACTGATTACTTTTATTAGGTGTAAAGAAGCACTATTTTACCTCCAGAATTCCCCAGAAAAATTTATTTGAACACAAAGAATTTTGGAGTATTGCTCATGTACTAGGGTTAGGGAAATCAAATAAACTCACAAGTCCTTTATTAACGTTTAGACAATTATGAAACACATTGATAAAAAGTACGGTGTAAACTGTTGGGACATTAAGTGTTAACATCATGCTAAGATTAATTCCAAGGGGAAATTTGTAAGCGGAAATCCTATCTCCTTTACATTTGTCACAGCAATAAACTACCAACTGCCTAAATTTACCCATAACTTAACAGTATAAATATGAGCTTGAAACATTTGTCGCTTTGACATAGACTAACATTTCTTTTGACTTTGTTCTGTGAGCTAAATAAACTTGCATAATATACTGCCGTGTATTGTTATATGTATATGTCAGCCCTACTTTCGGGGAGAAGCTTAAATAATTTAATTTTTGTCCCCCTATTTTATCGTACAATGAGAGGGGATATCATATTAGTATTCCTTGTCTTAATAACTATTTGGGTGCTATGTCTTATCTTCTTGTTCCTCGGAGAACAAATTATACTCAAAGCTGTCATAAAGAGAATCTAAAACTAAGATCCAACATTTCAGGGAATAATTTTGTTTCTTCCATGGAATGGTTAACAAATGGAACACCATACTCGAATAAGCTGCATCAACTCAATTAGTGAACACTGTCAAGAAGAAACTGGATCTTCAATGGAAAACATACCTCAGTAATAATAAAGGTTGATTGACTTATCGTCTTTATGCTATACTCTCAACTAAAATCCGGCATCTTCTGGATTAAATCTCATACGAAATTCCTGTATACGTATCTTTGGTGGGCCCCCAAATGCCCAAGTACAGCCGAGGATGGGAAGAGTCAGCTCTCCCTCTCGAAATGTCACACGTATACAGTCACTATCAGGATAGTCCTACTCACTAACTTTTCGCAGCAGGGGTGTTGTTTAAGAAATTGAGAGGAAGAAAACCAAATGTCTGGGGCTTTAACATGGTTGGTGAATATAAAACAATTATCTAGGGGAGTTGGAAAACCCTGATTCCGAAACAATGGTATACGTAAGTTCCAGGGCCCTGAAGGAACAAATGACGTATAAACCAATTGTTTGTCACCGGCTAACATGGGACTATATTTCCTGACGTTGGTCCACTGCCTTGTGAATCAGCCCCTTAGGTTAAAGGCTCCGGATGTGGCTCTCTAAGAAGACCGCCTGCTTCGATCTAGGCACCCGAGAAGTATCACAATCCGCACACAAACCAAATGACTTGTATGACGCACGTGTATTCAGTGCCTTTTTCTACCAAAATTTATATGTTCAAATAAAATAAAAAACAAAAAAATAAACCTTTAGTGACTCTCAAATTCAAAGGAAATAACTCTGCATTAGTCTCTAGATAGAAATTTGTTTCTTCTTTGACTAACGTTAATTCATGATATGTATTCGACTTATATATTATAGAATCATCTAATTTTCAATAAACTTCCAAGCAACGGAAGTAATAAAAGCATTTGCCTTTAAAAGTTCATCAGTTCACTATATAATTGAGAAGTAATTTTTTTTTTGTTTTTGAATTATTATTATCAAATTATTTATTTGAAATAATCACAAAACGGAAGTTTACCTCATTGAACATACGTTTTCGTTTAAAGAATATATTATTTATTATGGAATGAAATTTATTCGAGTTCCACTGTGAATCAGAGAACAGTGAACGTAAGTTTCATTATAGTTCACAACTTATTATTATAAGTCTTTGCTAATGATCCTGAGGATGGATTGAACTTGTAGAAGAATAGTATCCTCTATATCTGACTCCAATAAATAGTATCCTGTTAACGCAGTATTTAACGCTGGCTAAATCTCCTAATAGAGTTATGGATTTACTCGAGATTATTCAGAAGCCTGAATACCAATTGTAGAGATATTTTATTGTTAAAGATTAATAAAATCCGCAAGCGCACAGCAAGCAAGCACACAGTAAAACTCAGAGTGTATGTGTGTGCGTGAGTGTTAAAAATCCCTATATATTTATGCGTCTTAATCAAGTGTGGATAAATTATTGATTATATGTGTATTACAACCAATGGGAGAATAGATTAAGGATTGATGTGCAGACACGCGTTCAATCATACTCACACACGCATACTTTGCGTCTTCTCTCTCGTGTTCAGATCGCTGTATAGTTCTAGCTTGGGGGTTTCAGAATAGCTTAGGAATCGAGTATAGCGTTCAAATCTGCAAGACTTATCAGGCGAGACTAGAATTTATGAACGAATCAATCACGTATAAGATAACAAGTCTCGACTTTTGGCATGAAAATGACTCATCTATTTGGGTAAATAGAGTTTTGGCATTATAGCTGAGGCCAGTTCGTGATGAAAACCCTAAATCTAATTTCTAACCTTAATCATTAGCTGTAAATCACAGTTCTAATTCCTCAAACAGGTTTATAACTCTCACTTGGTCCTGGTTATTAGATGGACACTCTCAAGCTCAGTCTAGCGTCGCTCAAAGGTCGTTCATAAATTATAGTCTCACCCAAATAACTGCTAGGAAATTTAATAATCCAGGCTTTAGCTGTCTCTATTGAATATAGTCAATTGCCTGTCTATAAAACAACCGAAATTTCTTACATCATATCAGACGATCTATCACTTTTCATAATTACAGGAAATAGACTATTAAAGACTTGACTAATTAGTAAGTGGATAAAATGTATCATTAATGAAGTAATTCGATAAAATACTTCCCAAATTAAGAAAATAAAGAGAGAATACTTTGGTCAAATCAATGAAAGTCTGTATCAGTATATCTTCCTGAATAATCATAATGTTAATAGTGTATGTAGCGTCGTACACTGAGTAAATTTAAATAGAGCACAGGTCTTTTTTAGGCGAGACTATAATTTATAGACGACCTTTGAGCAACACCAAAATGACCTTGAAAATGTTCACCTACTTACTACGACTAAATAAGGGTCATTAATTAGTGTGAGGAATTAGGATTAGAATTTATAGTTGATAACTAAAGTTAAAAATTAGATTCAATGTTTTCATCACGAACTGACATCAGTTATAATGCCGAAACAGTATTTACCCAAATGAGTGGATGAATTTCCTGCCAAAATCCAAGATCTGTAATCTTAAATCTGATTAGTTTGTCCATAAATTAGAGTCTTGCCGTTTACCCAACTCTCATAATAAATGAGACCAAAGCAACTATTACGATTAAGCGATTTATTTAAGTTAATACTTAGTTGTTGGTGATACAGTTTTCTTTGTAGTCTTTGTCTTCTCTTTTAGTGTTAGTTAAATGATAGGATTGATCACATTAGTTGAACAGGACATCAGATCATAACAATGTATTGAATGCATAGAAATATTTGTTTAAAAGTGTGAAGTCTCAAACTATTCTTTAGATTAAACCACTTATAAATTTTAGTTTTATTCTGTAACAAAATGATATTACATTTTATTGTATCTTATACCTTTATAGGAAATCATCGGTAATGTAGATTTTCATTGAACAGTGTCAAATCGGTCATATTACCACGTAGACTTTATTCGTGACTACTGGACTACTGATAATATGAACAGCTATAAGTTAATATCTGTTATTACCACATTCGGATAACTCACATTAAAATCTTGTGTCAAAGATATGAGTGGAGTTCCATCCCTGTAGGGTGGAGAAAGTTATCCGCTTCAGACAATGGATGAAGGGTTGTGCAGGATCATCGATCGATTCAAGTCAGACATTTACACCATTGGATGTTGACTCAGTGATCTAGAGGTTAAGCATTCACGCTTAAGACTGAAGGTCTTGGGTTTGGACCATGAGTAAGGGATTGTGGGTGCTCACTGATGAGGAGTCCTATACTAGGACGAAACGGTCGTCCAGTGCTTCCGAGTTTTCAGTGGCGGTCTACCTCAGACTGATTCATGAATCCAACTTTGAAAACACAACGACCTCTACAAATCCCCATACTGATAACAAAGATATGAGTCACATTTTTAGAAGATATTTTTAACTAAAATTTCACTGACATTTACAGTCGAGTAAGAAAACTGAATTGAAATACAGAGTTTCATATCGATTGACTAAAACTATCCAACGACATTGTCTATCCATTATTTCGTATCATCAAGGATGTACATCTTACTGTCAACATGGTCAGTTGGCATTTGAAGCAAAAGGTACTGAATTATAATATCAATGTGAACTTCAACAATCAGGCTTCGGTATATCCAGGTGACGGGTTATAAATAGGACTAAATGTACATCCTAGATTCTCCTGTAAGCCACTATCCGTTTTCAATAATAACTGCAAAATATTTTTATTGTTCACATAAAATGTTTCGATGACTGTTAGATAGGTTACTTCTGATTATCAATCGTTTATTGATTAATTTCGGGAACATTATCTTCAAAATGTAGTTAAAACATGCTGAAATGGTAATAGCAAGTTCAACTTGCTTATTGAAATGAGAAATGGGAAATTTGATGTAAATACATATGTATTACTTATCTACTCAAATGAAAATTTTGTTAATAGATTAAACTAATCAGGACTTGTTTATTTTCATAGTTTATGTTTGAAACTGAATCTTATCCAAGTGATATTATTATAGGAGATCTGGCTTAAATACACTCCAATGGGAAAAAAATGTTTACAGACTCGTATTCTATCAAAGCCACTCTGTTTACATATTTGTTAGTGATCATTTACAATGAATGTAGAAGCTATGCTACCTTATAATACAATAATAGAATAAACTTGTTTGCAGTTATATAGACGAGAGTCTGTATCATTTATTCTTGTATATAAAGGTTAGAACACTGATAATATGCCTTGGAAATACTCCTACATCATATAGGAAATGCTACAACCATTCCAGTTTTACAAATGATCCTAGTAACAAATTCTTTATTTAAATAAATTTTTTAATAGGTGACTTATTAAAGTCAATAGTTGTTTCGAAGTCAATTTGCTTAACCCTGTCAGTATAGTATAAAGTATTAAAACGTAGGGACAGAACCAAAAAAATACATTTTGCACATTTTACTGTGGATTGATCGTGTATACAAATTTAAACAAACCTAATAAGAATAATTTTTAAAACATTTACAATGTTGTTTGTCTGAACAAAATTTCAATATTTCTTTTAGTGTCAAATTTTTACAGAAAGTAATCAGTAATGTAATCGCTATCAATATGTTGAGTTACTGGCGTCAACAAAAATTCAATAACTGTCGACACAGAAGTTTGTCTTTGTGGGAACTATTGGTGTTTTCTTATTTCAAACTTGATTGTATTTAAATTGGATTATCTAACATCCGAATCGTATTGATTGATCTTTGTTGTCGTGTATACTTACTGTGCGGATTTATTTATTTTTTATTTATTTTAACACATAGGTATTGGAACAAGGAGGCACCAAATATATATACGCCACATGAATCTCAATTGATTTGTGTGAGGTCTGTGATACTGACCGGGTTCCCAAACCGAAGCAGGTGGTTTTCCTAAAAGTCCACAACCCAAGCCTTTGACCTGAACGTCTGACCCACAAGGCAGTGGAGCATCGTAAGGAGATACAGTCCCATGGTAGTCGGTGACCAACGATTGGTTCATGCGCCATTTGTTCCCGCAGGATACTGGAGCCCATGTGCACCATTGTTTCGGGATCCGGTTAAAGCGCTGCACATTCGCTTTTCGTCCTCTCATTTTCGTAAACAATACCGGTGTCACGAGAAGGTAGTGAGTAGGACTTCCCTGGCAGGGGCTATATACGCGTGGCCATGTGAGAGCATTTCGAGAGGGAGAGCGGACTCTCTCCACTCTCGGCCGTACCAGGGCATTTGGAGGCTACTGTGCAGATTGCCTTCATATAGCGATTTTTCACAAATTTTTATGATGAAGACGAATTTATGGTTAGGAGTGGAATCCAGTACTTTCTTTTTTTTCACTTACATGAGACTTATCAGCTGGATGTACCTGAATCTCAGTGTTGATGTTCACACACGAACTCGAACCCAGTGCCTTTCACTTCGTCCCAGGTTTATCCACCTGATGAGTTCTAAATAGAACGAAATACACATCTTAGATTCTACAGCTAACCACGAATCTATCTACTCGCTTAGATTTGTTTTAATTTATTAACTGAGTTTACCAACCGAGTACATTTATACGCTTTCATCATAAAGTGTTTCCAATCTATTACTAGTATGATTGCTGAAAGAATCAAAACATACTTTCTTTATACTTCGTACATCTTCTTTCCCATGTCTTTTTAGGTAAAGAGAAGTAATTACTAAGGGTTTCATGCATCATATTTATTTAGTGATGAAAAAAAGATGTCATCAGAGCAAGAACATTTGTAAACATTTGTATAGGAATATACACAGAAACTAGTAACTATGTAAAAACATTTTTATATATTCTTTGAACATTGAAAAATCAATAGTCATAAAAAGGGAATTATTTAGCAATTCTATATTACTTGCTCGGAGAATAAATCATATTATCAAGATTCTCAATGAAAAAAAAGGATTTGTTAGAAAAAATGCGTAGGCGAACCAAAGCAGGAAAAGAAGTGAAGTACTTCAAACTTACAATAATCTTACTTAGTAACTAAGATGGTATTAAATGTATTCTTACACTAATAAATTATTCAATGAATTAAAACAACTTACCACAATGAAATCTCTGAAATTCTTCACCATTTTCTCATCGATCAAGCTTAAGAATGAACAGTGTGCAGTAAGAAAAATGGAATGATAAAGCTATAATTGACGTGAATTATTCAAAATGAATAAGAAATTAAACAATAACAGAGAATTTTATTGAGAGAATTAAAATAGATAATTTATTGTTGCTTTTAAATATTGTGATGGCTAAATCTTATATTATGAAAGTTTATTTCACCGGTTCACCCTACTTAAACAATCAGTGAAAGCCAGGAAATACTGGACACCTATTTTGTTCTAATATGAAAAACGTCAGTACTGCTAATCCATGATCCAATCATGGGCAAAATGCAGGATCATCAAAGCTCATGAGGAGCACCTCACTTCTAGATCACTTTCTTGGAGTTCAATAGTTTACAACTCTAGTCCTTATTTATAGTTTGATTAAAGTTAGTCCGTGGTGTACACTATAAAATTCATCAATTTCATAAAACCATTAGGCATATAAACGACGATTAGCTATTGAACGATTAAGTCATGTTATCACATCATGACCATTTAATTGATTGTGCATATATATATATATATATATATATATATATATATATATATATATATATATATAATTTTGTATGTTGTTATTTAGTCCACTCAAATGAGGACGCGAGAGAAAGAGCGAGTAAAAAATGGAAACACTTCATTAAGGATAGTCGTTGATAAGGGTGATCATCAAAAGGGACACCTACTCAAAAAATCTAGCATTTGTATCTACATAAAATAGCACGTACATTTTCAGAATAAATAATATATTGTTTTAAACAACCCCTAAATCAGCCAGAAGTATTAGACTATTTCATAAATACTCAACAGGTATTTGAATGGTCTGTGCTATCAAATAGTTCGTATTCCCTGACATAGATATTGCTTCAAATGAATCAACTGTGAATATCATATCAAATAGATATTCAATAGTAATTCAAAGGATACATTTTCTGAACCTCATTATTATAGAAATTCATACTAATTATTTGAGCAAATCAATTAGATTCTCAGTCTCACTGTTCCAATCAAATGTATGAGATAACATGAATTGAGTGATGAGAGTAGTTAATTGTTACTAAACCCGATAAATTACAGTGTTGGTTGAAGGTGATCTGTTCAATGAATGTTTAAAGAAGTGGGTTTTTAATTGCTTTTCAAGGCTAAGTGGTAGAGAGTAAATGAAATAAATTTCTCATGCTTAAAAAATTTCTGTTTTTGTTTATTCTGACATTTAATTATAATCACCTATTTGATGATCACTCCTAACAATTCCTATCCTTATGTGCTCCTTTATTAATGGATACCTTTTTATTTGTATAACGCACTTATGGTTTGATCTCTAGAATTCATGACACATGAACATCAACTCAGTTATTCAACACGTATGATATTTAACCTCATTTATACGATCACTTGAATTTTGTTTCTTGTATCCAATTAAACTATTTGACCTAGCAATAAGACTATTTGAAAGTGAAGAGATTGTTATCCACTGGATTGCATTACTAATCTTTATAGACTATTAACTAAAGTATACACCTAATAAACGTTTATTTTTGCTTACGATGATTAATAAATAAGGAATCAAGACAGTATACTCAAGGGATCTCAAATAACATTATTACTCTTATGACGAGTAGTGTCCGAAATCTGATACTGATAAACGATGTCCTATTCGCAAACGTTTCAACCGACTACTTGAACGAGAGCATAAGAGTGAATGGGAAAGTATTTGGGGCTACCGAATAAAATGCGCAAATACTCATTTATATATATACCACCCCATCTCTTAGGAAATTATTCTATTTTTAGCCAATGAAATGCGCTTGTCCTTTAGATCACTTCCGATTACCATCGACTGACCTTCTTATAGGCTACTTCTGGTTGGCTTACCATATCAATTACATCCACCCATCTTTACCGTTGATAAAAAAATGAATTAATAAACATACTTACTTAAAGCATACAGAAAAAGTAGTTCATACTCCCGGGTAAAATCAATATTCTATGAATTTTATAGTTTTACATCACAGACTAGCTTTATCTAAACAATCAACTGCTTTACTGGTAACTTACTTTGAGAGGAAGAAGCTGGAATTCTAGTGAAAAACCATGACCAGTCGGATGAAAGAGTGTGACAACTTTACCAAAGTTATAAATGTAAACCAATGGTATCCAATACTCTGATCCGTGAATTAAAGGGTTTCTTGTGAAGACTGAAGGTCCCGGGTTCGATCTGTGCTTGGTGTGCAGTGTTGAAGAACCTCATACTAGAACGAAATGGTCATTCAATGTTTCCTAGTTTCAAATAATTCCTTAACTGAAGTCAGATCGTAATGTAGAACTACAAACTAAACTGTTTGAGCAACCCTTTACACAAAAAACAGTAACTCATTTTTATATTATAATATATCGACCATCAATTTACCTTTGTTGGAGTAAATCCGAAACTAAGGCACGAATTTCCGATTTACGTCGTTCAGCATCTTCATCTGGTAAACTGTCTATACTTTCAACTGATACTTGGCGTTCTACTGGAGCTACTTCTGCATACATTGGACAGTCACCATCATCTCCATATTCACTGGCAGAACTGTCATCATCATCATCATTACTCCTAGATTTCTTTTTCTTTGCACTTTCATTGCTTGACTGTTCGCCGGGCATTTTTAATGACGTTAGTTTATTCGATAAATCATTAATTAAACCATTCTTTTTTGTTTGAACAGAATCAAGAAATTTTGATGTACCAGACAGAAAATTATTTACTCCAGCTGTAGCTGAACCAGACAATGAAGTTGTTGTTGACGTGGCTCCGGTGGTCCCAGTTTCCTCTTCTTGTTCCCCAAATTTCGCATCAGGATTTAGTACACTTTTAAAAAATCCTTTCACACTCATTTTAACATCAGTAATAGTACGTAGGTTACAGATAATTCAATTCCTTGATATGAAAAAGAAATCAAAATGAATTTTTAAGATTGTTTATGAATGACTAGAATAAAAGATATAATGAACTTAATTACAACTCATTGAATGTAAATATCTCAGTCTTGCAATAATTCAGTTGTGATCTCAATCTCAATGGTAATATCTGTAACTGCGACAATAGGTGGCACGACTTCCAATTCCCTGTAGATCATCAATTTTCTCCAGATTTCAGATATACTTTGATTAAAAGTAACACCCAAAAAGAAACCTAGTTGCGGCGCTTCATGTGGATTGTCTCTAACCACCTTATATGGTTAAATGATTCCACAGAATCAGTGATTCTTATCGAATTCTGTATTTGTGAAACGAAATAAGTTAGAGAGTCTTTGAAAACGTAGGATTTGAAACCCGATATTTCATTCGCTTCTACAACTACTGAGCCTCAGAAGTAAAGTAGCTTTCAAATAAAGAAATACACATAAACATTATTAGTAAAACAGTTCAAGATTGAAATACAATCTATATGAACTCGTTTATATGATTCTCTGATTGACCATAAAAATAAAAATAGAAAAATTTATAACACTGTATAATCTTGTTTACTACGCGCTGAAACAACAATGACTGTTACTATTAGTAACTACATGTACGAAGAATAGATTAGAACTTTTTCTGAGACAGATTTAATGAGAGAACTTCATACGTGACTTTTATCATGAAAAGACTATTCTCAAGGATAGTAGAGCGGGAAAATTAAATTACCTTAAACACTTCAACAATCTATAATTTTAAATGAGTCAAACTCACTGGACCAATGATTACTGGTATTTTATATGTTGCATTAGTCACAGAATGATGTTAGTTTAATCAAGATCGAAAATAACTGGATAGTTTTTTTAGAGTAGTATGGGATCGCTTAATAGTGTCCACCAACGACCCCACCAGAGATTGGTCATAGGACTTTCAAGTCTTTCTGAGAAGACTTAAATATTACATTCATAGGCTCAGTATTTATTGATACACTTCCAATTTCAGTCACTTTACGACATAAAGTGCTGATCATCCAGCATAACTGTGGCCAAATGTTTCAAACTTAGCTTGTCTAACCTCCAACGGCATAGACTACACACAAGAATTTTATCAGAGTCTTTGAGTAATTCATTAATGAGCTCATTGGCGCATTTTAGCCGGAGGATTATTTTGGGGACACTGAACAAAGAGTTTTAGTAGTTAATCACTCACCAGGAAACGTGAAGGTCCTGAGTGTAATCTTTGATGAAATTGTGGGTTCGCATACTGTTGAAGTAACTGTCTAGTGGGTCCTGGTTTTAAATTATACTCAAACTAAGGTCAGTCTGTGATAAATATAGATTGCTTATCCATTTGGTTTCCACGACACCCCTTGAATTGTAATGCTATCGTTATTCATTAGACACAAGCACAAATTATATAGAAGTGCTCAATAATCTTGTTTTCTTTGTTTCAGTTTGTTCCATCCTCCCTTTTCTCTTCCTATTCTCTTTCGTACACTCTTTCGTCTACTATCTATATAATCAATAACTATTAATATCTATTGTCCTCAAGTTTGATTAACCGATGTCATAAATAAATGCAATCTCTATTGAAGATTTCGCTTCATGTCCTAACGTCCTAGCTGAATATGTTCATAGTAGACAGTTTAAGGAAACTTCATCCGCTTATAATGAAATCTTTAATGAAAATTATATCTAAATATAGAGTACTCACCCATTATAAAAACGGACTGATAACTGAAGGTATTGGGTATGACATACCCGGAAAAGCTGTAAGTAACCTCATCATGACTTCTCTACATGTTTATTATTTGTCTGTAAAAAAATCGTCATACACTAACTATCCTCATATTACTTTATAAGTGTTTATACTACTGCTAATCACAATCTGATCAGTAATATAACGTAGACACCATTTTTATAGACATAACCAGAGCAAATAGTTTAAGAGTACGAATGATCGTTTCCGGTCGATTCCCTAGTACGGTTGGGCGTGGAGAAAGTCAGCTCTTCCTCTCGAAATGCTCTCACATGGCCAAGCGTATACAATCACTGTCAGGAAAGTCCTACTCACTATATTCTTGTGACCGGAGTGTTGTGTACTAAATTGAGAGGACGAAAACTGAATGTATGGCGCTTTACCCGGATTGGTAGATATTGAGTGTCCATCTAGAAAAGTTGGAAAACCCTGATTCCAAACTATTGGTGCACATAAGCTCCAAGATTCTGAGAGCGAAGGTATATTAACCGGCTACCATAGGACTGCATCTCCTGACGTTGCTTCACTGCCTTATGGAATAGACTTGTAGGTAAAAGGTTCGAAGTGTGGCCCCCTAAGAAAACCACCTGCTCCGGTTTGGGTGACCGAGCAGTACCTCACCCTTCACACAAATCAAATGACGAAGTATGGCACATATGTATTCCGTGCCATTTTGTACCAATATTTATGTGTTTAAATAAATAAATAACTCGTTTTTGATCCTTCATCAAAATCTACATTTATAAATTTAAAATTATCATTATTTTGTTACAATAAACAAAATACTAAAGATGAATTAATCCATTGTCTAACATAACAACCGATCTGACGATCGATTTGAAATTTTGTACATAAAATGAAACCTTAAACCCCAAATGAACAAATTTTCGTGAATGAAACAACTAACAAGATAAATTTACAAAAGAATATCTATAAGGAGGGAGGGGGTAAAATTTAATTTATTAATTTTTTCTAAAATATATATCATGCCTAATTAGTATGATCATGAGTAATTTGCGAGTTATAGTCAGTGAAGAAAAAACAAAAGTCCAACAAAAAAGCAATGATTATTCAGTTTTACGCATACCCAACTGACTGGATTTCATTCCCTAATCGATACTATTCACATTTAGAGGATCTATAATCTGAGTAAATTTACTAGTGAATTATTGTATTGGATGTTGGCTTAATAGTCTATAGACAGGAATTCCCGAGTTCGGTCTCTTGTAGCGTGGTAGTGTATGCTCACTATTGAGGAATTTCATACTCGGATGAGACAGCTGTTCAATTCTTCTAGTGAAGGTCTACCTAAAATCAGTTCGTTGTTTAAATTATAAACGTTCTAAAACCTCAATAAATCTCCCCTTGTAATGAGAATACATATATTCTCAACTTTTACATCCATGTTAGTTAACTAATATTTATGCTCTCTGGAATTTTTATTGGGGAATATTCTTCAACCATTCGATAAATTAGCAAGATAAGGTTGAATATAAAGCATTGATAATTCATATTATGAATTGATATCACATGCTTTAACGAGTGAAAATCAAAGAAGTACTATCTAGTTATCTCACTACAGTTAGTAGCTTTTCAGCACATTATTTTGGAATTATTGACCTTCAGGTTTTATCGAAAGCTGTAGAAGTAAGCTATAATAACGAACGAATTAGATTTCAGACGGCAGAAATGTTCAAAACACAATAAGGAAAAGTTGACTAAGTCGGCAGTCCATCACTTCAATCACAATAAATTTTGGGGATTTGGAATACGTAACATGGAAAGCACTCCTTTGAATATGTTCCATATAGACAAGCTACAATACTGTTCCCATTACAAAATATTTGTAGTACCTGAAACTACTATGTACTCAGATAACAGAATGAAATACTTGAATCTTTGAAGACACGTCTACAGCCGAATAATTGTCATGTAATAGCGACATTTTTACGGTCCCACGACATGAGAACACTTAAAAAAACACATAGATGTATGATACCCTCTAAAACATTACTAACGTGAGTATACTGTCACAACAAAAATACTTGCTTTTCATTCACATGAACCAATTTATTCACTAGACATTTCTTAATTTTCATCTACTGATTCAATTTCCAACATGGAAACATTTACTATTAATCGACTAGAATCTTATAAACTCCCTTGTTACAAACTATTTTATAACTAAAGAGAATCTAATGATTAATTAAAAATTTGTTCAAAACATCGTCAGTACAGTTTACTTCTAGCCGGTGATTAAATAAGGTTCAGTGAAGCTACTTTTTACCCTCAATGAGATTACTAGAATTTCATAAGAGTTTTCTTGAATACTTCTATTAATTAAATCAATAATTCTTGTGAATAATTAAGTCAAATAAAGGTTAAGAACATACTATTTGCTTGAAAACATAAATATGGGTACAAAGGGGCGACATACAAGTTTCTTGATTTGTGTGTGAACTGTGATGCTACCTGAGTGCACAGACCAAAGCAGGTGGTTTTCTTAGGGGGCCATACCCCAAGCCTTCGGCGTTAAGGTCTGACTCACAAGGCAGTGGAGCAACGTCAGGATATGCAACCCCATGGTAGCAAGTGACCAAGAATAGGTCCATACAAAATTCGCTCCTTCAGGATCCTGGAGTTTATATATACCATTGGTTTGGAGTCAGGATTTCCAATTTCCCTCAGCGGATCCTTTATATCCACTAACCAGGGTAAAGCACCGGAGATTCGCGAAAACGCAGTGAATAGGATTTCCCTGACAGTGGCTGCATACGCGTGGCCATATGAGAGCATTTTGAAAGCGAGAGAGTCGATTAATAACATACCATAATTTCTTAATGTTAACAAATACATAAGACTAAAACGTTTTTGATACAAACTGAATAACAGAATTAGTTAAATGGATCGCTTTTTAAAAGACGATTTCTTCTTATAAAAGTTAATGGAAATAATCAATGGATTCGAACAATCAAATTTCATAAAATAACTGTTTAACTAATCCATACCACTCATTCAAAACAGATACAAACTGATTTATCTAAAGAGTCATTACCCATGTTTTGGTGGGTGCTACTTATGTCCGTCGACATAAGTAGTATATAACACCAATCGAAAGTTGAAAACCTGGCAATAGAAGGTTAAGAAGATCGAGTTGAAAAGAACAGAAATGAAAATAGAGAATTATTGTAAAGGGCAAATGATGAGAATCTACAAGTTAAG